TTACAGATTACCATAAAAAAATTGTGTTGCAATCGAGATTGATTAAGTCGAGCAATTCGTGTTATGTTAGGTAACAACTATTATTATAATTATTCAAAAACATAACTTGCTCTAACTTGGTTAATTTTTATTCAATTTTAATATTTTTTTTATTTTTTTTTTTTTAACTCTTTTAAAAAATATGCTCAAGAAAATGGCTATCTTAAAAATTTAAAATTCTTAAATGCATATATTTTTATTTTTATTTTTGAATTTTATGCCATTCAATCAGAATTTCCATACTAAGTATTGAAAAAAAAAACTGCGTTTAAATATATTGATTTCCCGTGGAGATATTAAAGGTGATACGGGACTTATGGAATATACTGTATATTATATTATTATGCGTATGTGTTTATTACGTTGCATGTTGCAGTCATGTGAGGTTCGGGATTTCCTATAAACAAATTGGTGAACATGGTTATTCATAATTCTTTTAGCTTCGATCTAAATAATCACTGATGACGTTTGAAACAAAATGTGATTCGGGTGGTCGTAAATTATACAAATAATACAGGATAAGATAGTTGATGATAAATTTATAAAAATATTTTTAAATTACGTATTATATTTCAACATATTAATTACCTATATTTTTTTTTTTTTATTATTTGATAAGGCTTCAAATAATTCAAAAAGTTCATCAGCCTATGGTAAATTAAAAAAAAAAAAAAAAGATAGAAAGTAGAAAAGAACCGATTAATTATAATATAGGGATTACAAATGCGGTGTTAATGATTATATGATGTAAAAATATTAATGGTATTTAAGGTTGTTCTTTGAAGGAGTAAAACTAATATATCACAGTTACAGGCTTAAATTAGTGTGGGTAGTTCTACTGTTTTAATGAAATGTATGTTGTTGATTTCCTGTGGCCGAAGGCTTCTTTAGGTGATGTTATGATGAGTTTTGACAATGATTTGGCGGAATTGAAATTTAGACACTCGAGGAATATGTGATTTACTGAGAGAGTACATTGGCATGTGTCATATAGTGGTGCAGGATCTTTACTGAATAGGTAAGACTGAGTTAGCCTAATGTGGCCTATGCGCACTCTGATAATCATTACTTCATCTTGTCTGTTGAAGTTATTGGTTTGCGGCTCCGGCCATGTGTTCATGGAAGGTTTCATTTGGAAAAGTTTGTTTGATGTTTGTTTTTCCCATTGGGATTGCCACAGGGAGTGGAGCTTATTTTTAAGGACTTGGGTGATATCTTCATATAGTGTATGTTGGTATATTTGGATGTTGAGGAGTGTAGCTGCTGTGGCAAGGTCTTCAGCAAGTTCATTGCCCGGGATTCCGATGTGTGATGGAATCTACATTATTTTTATAGTTTTGTTGGAAGCGTGTATTTTGTTTTGAATATTTTGGGCAATGTTGAATTTTGTATTTGTTTTCGATATAGCTGATATAGCCCTCATAGAGTCGCTTAGTATGAGGATATTATTGTGAATTATGGATAGAGAAGATGTTGATAGTGCATCGAATATTGCTAGGATTTCTGCTGTGTAAATGCTCGTAAATTGAGGAAGTTTGAACAAGATATTTTGTGGCGTATGTTTGATAGCAAAACCTGTTTGTTTTTGGGGTTTTTGAGGCAGCTGTATATTTATGGTAAAAATTGTTGAAGTTATTGTTTATTATTTTGTGGAACGAGTTGATGATTTGTCAATGTGGTGTACAGTTTTTGTCAAATGTTTTAAGTTCATTTTTGACTTCAATGAGGTTAGTATGCCATGGGGGAAATAAAGAGAGACTTTCAATGGGTCTTATGTTGTTCATGTTAACGGAAATTTCTTCTAGAATCTCGTTTATTTTAACATATAGTGGTTTAGTAATAAGCTCAAGGAGGTTTGATAACTATTTTTTTCATTTTGATTTGGGGTATTGAAATTTTTTTAGCTACATATTTAACGGAAAAGTAATTGTGCCTAAATTCCAGTGGAAGGATGCCGGACTCACAATGCAGGCTGTCAATTGGGCTTGTTCTGATAGCTCCAGTAGTCAGTCTGATTCCATCGTTGTTTATAGGGTTAAGTAATTTAAGGGTGTTAGGATTACCTGAGCCATAAATTGTGGAGTCGTAGTCAAGTATTGATTGTATAAGAGAATTAAAGAGGACTAGAAGGGTTTTGCGTTCTGCTCCCTATTTATAGTGACTTATATAAAATTTGTAATAATAATTTATTTAAAATTATAAGTTATAATTTTAATTATATTTAATTTTTTTTTTGTAAATTTTTTCTCAGCTGTTTTAGATGTGCAGTCCACTTTAGTTTGTGGTCAAAAGTTAGACCTAAGAGTCGGATGTTGTTGGTTTGTGCAATAATTGAATCTTGCATTTTGATTGCAGGAGAAAGAATTTTGTTTTTTCGGTGGAAAAGAATTGTTTTGCATTTTGATGGAGAAAATTTGAAGCCAGTTTTCTTCGACCATTGAGAAATGTTATCGATAACGGTTTGCACAAGGGCTTTTGTGTCGTGAATGTTTGCGCCTGAGCAAAAAATTTTACAGTCATCTACGTATAGTAGGACTTTGACGGGCGGCTTGATTTGATTGCTAATATTATTGATTGCTACGAGGAAGTGTTACAATTAAGGAGGAACCTTGTGGAAGGCCATTTTCTGTTGTAAAAGGTGATGATAGTGTTTCTAAATTTAACCTCGAAGGCTCCGTTTTCAAGAAAGTTATTAATACATTTTAATATATTGCTACGGAGGTTCCATTATTGTAGAGTGAGTAGAATTCTATGTTTCCATACTGAATCGTAGGCTTTAGCAATGTCTAATGAAACCATTAAGAGGTGGTTTTTGATGTCAAATGAATCACATATGTTGGTGTGGATTGTTGTCAATGATTTGATGGTGGAGCGGTTGGCGCGAAAACCGAATTGATGGGGGGGAAGGAAAATTCTGTGTTTCAAGGAACCATAATGGTCGAGTATTATCCATGTTTTCGAGAATCTTGCTCATAGTATTAAAAAGAGATATTGGTCTATAATTATTGATATCAAAAATTGTTTTATTAGGTTTGGGGATAGGAATAATGGTGGCGGCTTTCAATTGTTTTGGAAAGTGATTTTTAGTCCATATGTTGTTGAAGATATTGAGTAAATAATTAAGAGATAAAGAGGAGAGGTGTTGTAGGAACGAGAAGGGTATACCATCAGGGCCGAGGCTTTTACTCTTTTTTTTAAAAAGACAGTTGTTGAATTCAGTGATGGTTAAAGGATCATTTATAAGATTATCGGGATTCTTTATCTCATAGTTGATTGGTGAGGTATTTTCAACCATTGTTTTATAAGATAAGAAATGGATATCATAGTTTTCATTGCTGTTGTTTGATTGGAAAAAGAAGCCAAAAGTGTCTGCTACTTCTTTTTTGTCAAAGAGTTTATTGTTATGATAGTTTATTGTTTTAGGTCGAGTTCTATTCATTCCTTTGATATTCATAATTATGGACTACATTATATTAGATGAGGTTTTATGAATGATACTAGAAGTGAATTATTTCCAAGAGTTTGTTTTGCTGCTGTTAATTGTTAAGCGTGATATAGCTCTGAATTTTTAAGTTTAATATGGTCAGATTCAAGTCTTATTTTCCTGAATTTATTATTTGTTTTTTTTTTGTAATTCTGTATGACTGTTTTGCATTCGTTGTTCCACCATGGGACCTTTTTCCTGAAAACAGTGCATTGGCTTTTTCCGATTGTGATTTCTGCTGCTTCAATTATTGTATTGATAAATGATTTTACTATTGAATCAATATTTGCAGAGGGGTTTGTTTGAAGGAGAGTATTGAATTGATTTTTGGCCAGTATTTTGTTAGTCATTATCGCTGAAAGCTTGCCAATTGGCCATTTTCAATGAGCCATCTGTGGAATATTTTATCCATTACTTAAGATTTGAGTAAACTTAGAATTCTGGGCCAATGGTTATTGCTGCAATAAGATGTTTGCACGGTCCAGTCAATTGTGACTAGCAACTGACTAGCAACTTCAAATTACTTACATTGAATAATACTCCAAATAACACACTCGCATTTTGCACTAATTAAATCGAACATAAATGGACAATTTTAATAGGTATCTATTTTCTTATTAAGTAATAAATTCAATATTTATAAAATAATTCAGAAAATATAAATTATTGTCAACACAGGTTAGCCAACTTTGAATTGTTCATAACTAATGTTAAGTTCAAAATAAAAAAAGCACAAACGTTTTTCCGAATAACGTTATTTGCAATTTTTTTACGTTACAAATACGTTTATTGTTTTTTTAATCATTAATTATGATTAAAATTATATGATATATATTTAATTATATGATATAATTAAATGATATATTATTTTTAATGTTATTCAACATTTTTCGTTTTCGTATATTTGTTTTCATTTTTTTCCGTTATAACGTTATATATAAAGTTTTTAAGCCCTGCTTGTAATACAATTTCTGCTTAAGGACCAACGTGTTGGCACATTAGAAAAAAATATGTATTTGCATCGAAATCCCAGTCCTAATTATCAAAAATCCAAGGGGGACACGTGTGATCGGTGCCTCTTGACCTTTTAGCCATCGTTATCGATAGGTTCATAATTAGTATCTATGATTCTCAAAATGCATTCTCTCGTGGTAAAGTTTTGCCCATGGAGATAATATTACCTAATTAAATAAATAATTATTATGTATTTAATATAAATTAATAATTATAATATTTTATGTATAAATATAAACTTGTAATAGACACGGAAAAACCTAATATAACCCCTCCAGCCCATGGACAAAATTTGTTCTAATAACTCGAAATAAAATGTTTAATTATAAAATTATAATAAAAATATCTGCGTCTATATCTCTAAGTAGTAAAATATTGATTTATACGATTCCGCTATCTGCTTATGTATAATATATGTATTATATAATAATTATGTTATGCACGTTTTATTACTCGTACGCAGACAAGTTCAGCGTTGCCGAAAATTGAGGACACCGTTGATGGTGACCATGGGATTTCGCGGTTATCAGTGGTTTATGGAGAGCAATTTCGTGGACTTCTTCGTCGGTGACATCGGGTGCCTAGGCGTCAGCACGAGGATCCAACCACTATTAACTATAGTTGAAGATGTTTCATGCTCAATGATGGATCCAATCTCAAATGCGAATTGCAGTACGCTATGCGGACCAAGCTAGTTGTCACAAAACTTCAGGTTTCAGGTGCCATAACTATTTATAATAACAATGATCAATGCAGCATAACATACTAAATACATTTGTCTATCTAATCCATAATAATTTGTAACACTGTAAAAGTATTATATTAAATACATTTATAATTGTTTATCAAAGATAAGTTGCATATCTTATTATTGATTGTATAATAAAATACACTTCTGTCGTCGAATTTTTATTTTAACTTGTCTATTGAATATTTACACCTTCAAAGTTCCCCAAAATTTTGATTTTCAGTTGGATAACTTGTTTTACATTTAATAGTTCTCGAGGAACGAAATAATAAAATGCATTCCACATGAGATTCGTTAATATTTTGTTCGTTAATTAATTTAAAAGATTTATTGTGTTTTATAAGATCCTGTAGGTCCTGTATAGAAAATAGCAAGCCTGGACATTAACGAGTTAATAAGTTAGAAGTTAAATTAATTTAACTTATTAACTTATTTCCTTACAGAATATCTTGAAATTAACGTATTATTTATTTATTTATTTGATATTCAAGACTATAAAAATATTTTTGTAAACAACCATATTCGATAACAAGTTTATAGAATTTATAAAAATATAAAAATAAATATTTCGAAGAATTTTTAGATAAGAGCATAATATTTATTAGGGTGTTAATTAATAATAGGGGTTCCGCCGGTTTCGGAAAAAGTAGTCAACAGTCTTAAAATTAATGAGAAAAAATAGCCATGCCACACATGAATTACATTACCATTGTCATGAAAATTGGCTATATATATACATATTACATAAATAGGTACATACTATCATTGATTATTACAATTATTATTATTATTATTATTATTAATACAATTATTATTACCTATTAAAATTATTCCTTAAAAAATAATATTATTAAATAAGATTGATATTATTAAATATTATTGGATATGAAAAGAAATTCAAAAGCTCATCATAATGTTGAAATAACTCTTTTATTGAGATTCATTAGGTATTTTGATTAACCTGTCTATTGTATTGTTTTATTTGTTTTCATTTTAATAAACTTAAATAATATTGTATATTTATTTTAATGTTTTGTATCTACTGTATACATTTATTGTCTGTATAATTTTATAGTTACACTTTTAGCTACACTAATTATTTTTAGTTTTCATACTGATATTGAACATTAAAAAGAATATTTTTTTTAATTATATTTATTATATGTGATTTGTATGAAGAATTAATAAAAAAACAAACTATACATTAATTACCATACATTTGATATTTGAGTGCTTCAAATTAATCCCAATAATGAAATATATTTTTCTACTCTAATTAGAGTTCAATAAAAAATATTCTTAAATAAGATTTTTCTGCTTTTTCATTATCATAAATGTTAATTAAAATCTGTTATAAATTGTTAATATATATATATTATATATATATCACTTATATCAACGCTTAATATAATTTTTTTTTTTTTTAATTAACTTAACTTGGTATTATTTGAAATTAAGATAACGATATTTTTTAACTAAATTTTTAACTTAACTTATATAATTCTCACATGAATTAACTTAATTGTTAACTTAACTGAACATAAACTCAATTAATTTAACCGAGTTAAAAAATATCATTCATTTGCCCTGCCTTACAAAATAGTATGAAAGATATTTTTATTTTAACAACTAAACAAGTCACGCGTGTGAAATTTCTATAAACATAACCTTTCCTAATGAAAAACACTCATATTTATACGAGTTTAATAATGTATTGCATTGCTTGAAAATTATTTAATGAAATTAAAATGAAATATTAAAGATGATAATATAATATAAATAAAAATAAAATCTAAGGCATACCCAAGTCCAATATAGAAACTAGATAGATAGTAAAAACATTTATGCATTTAACAATTCAACTACTAAAATTAAAATAGTTACATTGCAGTAATAATTGTTGTCTGTCATACACATAGGCGTGCGCACAGGGCGTGCCGGGCGTGCCCAGGCACGCCCTGTGATTTTTCATGGGCCGAAGCGCCCTATGCCTCTGATCTACCTAAATTACAAAATTCAATTTTAAAGAGAATTTGAAAAAAATTTTAAAATACACTATGTGCACTCTGTAGATGAAAGTTTGTATATATTATTGTATATAGACATATTTTGGCTAAACATTTTGGCCCGGATAAGACTAGCGTTTTAACGGCGAAACCGCAACCCTTTGTGATCGTTTCAAACCGATTTCCTACGGTTCGGAGAATCGGTTTAGTCTGGTCGCGATAACGCGGTTTATATGTTATTTATAGATGTTGCGGTTGTTAAGCATATGGTTATAGTTTGACCATAAATGTATATATAATAAACTAATATAATATAGTAAAGATTTATAAAAAGATATATAAGATATATAAAGATATCTTGTAATTGGAATTATTAAATATGAGCCAATATGGTATACATGTTAACATTTCAATAAATTTAAAAAATAAATATAAGAGCTTACGTAGGGTTTTCCATTTATAATGACATACAATTCTGCATCTCAATCAGCGAGTAATCTACCCGTTTAGTGGTGTATATCATATTAATATGTTATTTTTATTTACTCGGGTACACGTACTGTGGATTGACGCAAGATTTAATTACTGAACTGAAACTTATGAAAAATTATCAAAATGCTATGCAACTAAATGGTGCTACTATTGAATCTGTTTATGAATGGATTGATTGGTTGAAAACTTCTGGAAATTCCACTGTATATACTTGTGTTTTTAAAACTTTAAAAATGTTTACAATCATACCTGTAACCAGCTGTACATGTGAACGCGTTTTTTCAAAATTAACTGTTGTAAAAAACAAATTACGCAGTACAATGGGTCAAGTACGTTTGGAGTCATTATTACTACTTTTTACGGAACAAGAAATGGTATCATAGGTAGATTTAAATGCAGTAATAGATGAGTTCAATAGTATGGGTAATAGACAAATGTCTCTCTAAGTACAAGAAAAGACGATATCGTCGATCGCCAATATTAATAAAAAGGACTAGGAAGTTATAGCACTAAAAAAATTAATTTTTAGCGCTTAAATATACACATAAAAACATTAATATAAGTGCTATAAATAGCACTAAAAATTGGAAAATATGCAAAATTAAATTTCATTAACAAAAATGTTTTATTTAAAATTTTTTTAAATTATACAAGTTTTTTTTATAAAATATGAACAGTAAATATTTGAGAAGTAGGCACTTTTCCGGCTCTGGAACATTTTCTGTTAACATAAACATAAAAAAATTTATTAATAAATGAATAATATAGTGTATTAATTTTATTTACCTTAATAATTGTACTAAATAATAAGTTGTTTTCTTATATTTTCAAATTTGAATGATCTACGATTATTTGATAGTAGAGTTTTGTATGCCGAGAATGACCGCTCTACATCGACAGACGTTACGGGTGCGTACTTAAAAAATGTTAAGTCGTTACAATTTAAGTCTTCGGGAAGACCATCTAAATTTCGGAATGGCTCTTCACCCGTTAGAACTTGTGATATTTTTACCAACGCCAAGAGACCACGATTTTTTTTCCTGTACCTGATTAAATTTATTTTGAACAGATTTTCCATTTGGACCACTTAATGTTTCAAATGATTTTTGAATATCTTGAACTATTTTTAGTAAATCCGATAAAAGCATATGTTGCCGTTATAATTGTTCAATAGCCAAAGTTAATTTGGCAAAGTTCGACTTAATATACGTTAAGTTGTTTTCCAATCCAGGTTTTATGATGTTATCTTGAGCATCTTTAATACTAACTGCATCATTTCTGTCTAGCATAAAAATAAAACGGTGAATTATCCCGAAATTCTCACAATAATAAATTGCTGCATTAATCCAACTTCCCTAACGTGTGATAATTGGCTCCGGAGGTAAGGGTAAGTTTGGCGCTTCCGATTTAAATACAAGTAAACGACTTGGGGCTTTTCTAAAGATTTTTTTTACACTTGAAATAACTTTATCTACTATGTGAAATTGATTTCTAACTTCATCTGCGACTCTGTGCAGTCCATGCACAACACATGTTACATGAATCATTTTTGAGTAAAGGCTTTTTAGTACTTCTCCTGATTTAACCATGTAGGGTGCGGCATCGGATAAAAATAAAAGTATATTGTTATGTTGGATACCAGCCGGCCATAATATGCTCATTGATCTATCAAAAAGTTTGCTGATTGTGGAGTGGTTAGCTTTTTCTAGTTCCTCCGTAAAAACATATTGCCTGCATTATTTTCCTCAAGAGTGTCTACTATTACATTTGCAATGTAACGACCCTGTACATCAGTGGTCTCGTCGATACTGACCCAAATTTTTTGTCAGAAATTATTTTCCTAATTTTATCCATGGTCTCATTGTAAATATCATCCACATATCCTTTTCGCAACGTGGATTCACTCGGAATATCATTTTTTGTATATACTTCCAAAAATGTTTTGAATTTTGATTTTTCTAATTTGTTCAAAGGAATGTTAGCAGAAATAAAAGTCTCACACAAATCTTTGTTAAATGACGATTTTTTACTAATATAACTTGTCGCTATCAATAACTGCTGCTGTTTCCGATTTATTTGATTTTCATATCGGGCAAGGCCTTTGATATGTTTGTCACTTTTTATACATTGTGATACGTTAAACTTTTTGTCAGAATTAACTTTGACTTCACAAATTTTACAAAATAATTCACTTTTATCAATTGAAAAAATATTAGGACCATATAAATTAACAAAGGTTTGGAGCCGTTTGACAAATTTTGTTTAACTTTAGGTATTTTTAAACACGATAAATACGATAGTTCACGATCAAACGCACACGCAACACGCAAATGACGGCAGAACGCAGACAACTAAAATAAAATCATAGGTCTTTACGTACGGTGATAACGCCGTATCTTACGTAAATACGACGAATTTGATAACTGCAGTTCATATTTTAATACAATTTTAAAAATAACTAAATTATTAGAAATTAACGGAATTGTCCGATTTAATCGACGATAACAACGATCTTA